TCTTATGGGGAGCTTCTACAGTGATGCGTAGGTGTCCAATATGGGTTAAGTTGTAGAGTTCCTGTGCTTCAGGCGTTCTCACTACTTGCAGAAGTACCAGAGAGGTGGGCTTTCTTTCCCTGCCAGAAAGCATCCTAGTAATTTTAATTACTTGGTGGCCCAATTCGGAAATGTCTTGACTAAGAAGCTCAAGGACGCCATCACCTGCCGGAATGCCTCTGAGCACTAACCTTAGAGGTTTGTTCGTCTCCAATTGAAATGTGTTAAACTCAACGCCTACGTTATCCAAGGCGTTTGATGCCATGCGGTATTCATCCGCCGTCGAAAGTGACATTGAGATTCCCGCCTTGGTGATTCGAGCCGATTTGGGTTTAATGCCAACCGTCCCAAACGTGTTGATGGCCGTGATGTAGTCGGCCTCCCTATGGAGAATTAACGGGGGGATCCTCTCCTTCCGGAGGTTAAGTTGACCTCGGGCTTCTGACGCGTCTGATTCGTCGCTGGAGGATTGTTCCGTTCGTGCCCGTTTGTGTCGCTGATGCCGAACGGTTTGGAAGTCTCCTTTTTCGTCTTCATCCTCTTCATCCATCGATCTCGAAGGAGTGTCTTGTACGAGAGGTTCTGCAGGAGAGCTTGAGTTCGAATTGGCTGTTTGGAGTTTAGTCTTCTTATTTAAGGGCTTTTTGCTGGCTGCCTGCGAAGCTGACGGTGTGAATTTAGACGTGACACGACTTTCACCTGTAGAACTACCCGCAGCTTGAATTGCCGTAGTCGGGAGCGGAGCACTTAACTTGTCTAACTTGTGGGAAAGGATGTCAATTTTGCGAGTAAGGTCGGCTATGAGTTGCGCCTGGATGCTTAACTGCTGCCGTAAGGAGGCATTTTCCTGACGCAGGCGGACTTGTTCGTGGGTCGATTTCCTCTCTGGGAGGGGAGCGGGGATGAAGTCTTCATCAACCGTCATTCCCAAATCGTTCATTATTGAGCGCACTGCACAAAGGGTTGGTGAATCTTCACCTTCCATCGCGCACACGCGGTCGGAACTTAGCACTTAACTAAGGTAGTTTAAACACGAAAAAACAAACTTAATTCTAATTCTAACACTACGATACAGTCCGGAACAAGTGAGGGCGACGGCGCCATAAACTCGAGCGCGCAGTTACGCGGGTAAGCCCCCGGGTGGGCGAACGCTGCACCGAGGGGTATAGGAAGATACACAAGGACGCACAAAATTTGTGACTGATGACTGATCCTGACTCACTGTGATCGATGCGAAGATACCGCTTCACTGCTGCTGCTGATGACTAACTCACTGACTGCTCAACTGCTCACTGGTGATCCACTCACTGCCTGTGATCGATGCGAAGATACCGCTTACCTACTTAACGGCTTCGCGCAGTACTCTAAAGCACGCCCCGCTCATCCCATTGGACGATAAAATTGCCTACATAAGCGCTCGCGGCACAATTTACGCCGGCAGTTCACATCGACGATCGCAAGCGAGCGTTACTCGATACGTTGACATATTCACTCGCGTAATCTATTTCGTTTTTACTTGATAACATTTCACAATGTCCGGTCGCGGCAAGGGCGGTAAAGTTAAGGGAAAGGCGAAGTCTAGATCGAGCAGGGCGGGACTTCAATTCCCCGTCGNGGTTGACCATCCTCTTAAGTCCACGAAATGAAATGAAATTTTGTTTTCATCAAGGAAGTCTTTGTTGTGGGGCTTTTATCGGAGAATTGAATTTTATATAAACGCCGGTAAATTACAATGAGTAAAAGTGCGACAATTACACGTGCGGTATAAATTTCAAGCCCCGCCTTTCAATTCTATAGTACCTTTTCTTTCTTGCGATCAAATACTTGATAATTTAATGGTTTTACCGGTAATTTGCGGCCGAGGATATCCGTTTTACTTCCCTACTTTTTAGTTTGATGGAGGACTAATTGAGTATCAGTCACTCCTTCTTATATGACAGTTTACTTATGTAATGTAATGATATTGTCACTCTGAAAAATATAGTAGGTAACTTTGATTAGTCTATATTCAAAGGTAGGTATATTAACCACAAACCACTGTTTTAAAATTATGCGGGAATATAACTGCAGAAAAAAGTTTCTTTTGCATTCTCTTTTAGTGTGAAAAAGGCAGGTAGTTTTCCATTAAACAGGACATTTACTCTGGATAACTAAATTTAAACGTAATATTACATTAGCATTTTAAAATCCCATCTCTAATATTTAAACAAGTATAAATTGTTTGTGCAGATAAAGCGCATTTTTTTAACCGAAATAGCTTTTGTTTTCACATCACCAATGGATATATTTCTTGCAGGCGTCTCAATCTTTCTGAGTACTCTCTTCCGACAATCCGTTCTTGATAAAGGAGTATACTCGATCACGATAAGAGGTTGAGGAGGAGGGCTATGGTTGGTAGAAAACAAAACGGTTCCTTTCGTTGAGACTTTTAATTACAATACAATGAGATAAAATTAATCCCCCCCCCCGCTCTCTGATCTCGAAAAAGAGTCGTACGGGAAAGTTATAGTTTGTACACACCAATTTATTCCGATGAGACCTTTCAGTAGAATACCATGAAGGGTAGAACATGCCAAGTTTAACTTGGCACCACTAAAGGCATGCGTATGCAAAATCTGAGACGAATTGGTTGGAAAGAGAGGAGAAGAAGGCGACTAAACGAAAATCGTTAGCTAGCACTACCACTACTAGATTCACGGATGAAGGTTCGTCAAGCGGCCCTCCCAGGGGTTACCGGCCTGATATTGCACCCATAGAGCTTAGGAAGAATGCGTTAGACGAGGAAAAGTTAGAAGGCTACTCCAGCATTTAGAGGTATTACAAACATATAAAGGGTGAGCAAAATGTCTTGATATGTATTGGGATCTCTGTTATTTCAGAAGATACATCTTCTGTTAAATTTCACAAATGTTACCTTATTGCGAAACTAATAAAATGCACTCTATTTAATACCGTGCGATCAAAAATGAGTTGCTGTCGAGTCACCTTTGGAATTTTTGTTTACATGGGAAATCGTACTTAACTTGAACTTCAAGAGACGACTCGACAGCACCTCATTTTTGATCACCTGTTATCGAGCGGTTATCGAGATATGGCTGAAAACCTGAAAATGTTAACAAAATTACAAATTATCCATTTCCCAACACAGTAAACTTTATAAATATAACCATTGTATGGACACCATCCCATGTTGGAATCAGAGGCAACGAAAAAGCGGATCAAGCTGCGAAAGAGACGTTTACACTCAACCTACCAAGAGAAAAGATACAGCTTAAGAATGACCTCAAAAATCTTTTCAAGGAAAAAGTAGTTACAAAATGGCAGAATATTTGGAGTCAAGCAAAGACGAAACTTTCAAGTATAAGACCCGACGTGTCCAGTTATGACTTACCTAATATGGGCAGAAGGGACACCATGATAATTCGCAGGTTACGGATGGGGCACACCAGATTAACACATGGCCATCCAATGGAAGCTAAAGATCCACCCGCATGTGAGCATTGCAACACAGTCCTGACAGTAAAGCACATTCTTATAGACTGCCCAAAATACGCGGACATTAGAAAACGACACGACCTAAAACCAGAGCTTAGAGAAGTTCTAATAAATAGTTTCCAGAACGTTATCAATTTCCTTAAAGATGCTAATCTGTATAATTACATATAGTCTAATGTAAAATGTAAATTTTTCCTCAATTTTCCTTTTCTGTTAATTTTTGTGTTTTGTATATATCACTTACTGTTCTAAATTAATTACTTATAACATGTGCCAATGGCCTATGGTTGTCGAGGCACTCAAACCAAATAAAAAAAATACAATTGGAAGTCTCTCTGCATTATTCCACGTGTTTGGAAAAAACAAGTTGGAAAGTACTAGCTACTAATAGCTATTTGTGTATTAAGAGCGCAAAATGATATACCTATTGTCGATTGAAAGAGACAGTTGACGCGCGACGAAGGAGCGCGGCAATCTCTTGAAATCTACAATCAATTTGCGCTCGAATTACACACAAGGCTTTTTCTACAATCGAGCAGTTCACATATTTCCAAAAATTTAAATTTTTCACTCAAATCATTTTAATCTTATGCCCAAATGAAAGATGTCATTTACTCGTTGTCATTGGATACTCTGAGCAATGCATATTTGATTTAGTTAATAATTGGGAGAGCGAGCGTTTTTTCTATTTTGTCGCTTATAAGCGACAAAGTGACATTCCTCGAAAAAGATGACGTTTGCGTTGTCAAATACCAGCGCAAATGCCTACTTTGGATATCGATTGTAGAAAAAGTGCGTTTATGTGCAACGGATCGAGGTTTTTTTTTACCAAACTCGCAAATCTACATGCAGAGAATTGTGACACAAAGCTAATGCTTCAAACCCGAACATTCTACGATGATTCCTTCGAGAGTTAAACTTTACAGCCAACAAAGCGACCGACCGATCGAACAGCCAAAGTGAATACATAGCGCTACTTTTTTTCAAAAACGCGCTAAAAACAAAAAGTTATTCTATTAATTCAGTAGTAAGGCAATTTATGTATCATTTAACCGAAGTTGTACCTCTTCAAATATCGGCAATCACAATATACAGCAGGATACTTGGTTGTTTCACTCTCTACAATGAATGCTCCAGCGAACTTCATAAGCTATTTTAATAACAGGTTACTGAGGAGGAACGGACGGAAATTTCGGTTAAAACTATTGGACAATTCGAAAATTCTATTTATAAGAATGAGCGACTCCATCGATTAACCGCTTCAAAGTTTGGCGATGTGGTTAAAAGGAAAGAGACAAGACAACGTCGTGCGACGCCGTTAAATCAATCCTCAGCACGGACTATAATTTTCAGTCACCTGCCATGGCATATGGCAAAATACACGAGTGTGCCCATAAGTAAATTTGAAACTCTTACTGGCAAAAACGTTAAACAAGCAGGCCTATATATATAGATGTAATCTGCGGATATTTAGGAGCATCCCCTGACGGTAACACTACCTCTTTTTGGCAAATTGAATACTTTCACAGATTGCGCTTATCGTTTCAGGAATTATTTCCGAGGATGAAATCGTGGAAGTAAAATGCTCATTCAAAGTTGCAACGATGAAAAAATCTTTAAAAGAAGCGCTTGAGAGCAAAGAAGTGCAGTATCTGACTCATAATGGAAATAGGGATATTGGTTTAAAGAAGACACACAACTATTATTACCAAGTAGGAAGCAAATACATGGTGTTTCAAAAACGTTTTTTATTACGATTATCTCCATATTAGGAAGGGTTACAGTATAGCGTAGTTATTTTTTGATCGATAAAACACATTTAGGTTTTAAAATAACCATTGTTGTTTACTTCTTTCGTTCAATTTTTTATTATTATTATGGAGGTATCAGTGAGACACGAATTTGAAACATATAGGTAGTTAGGTACAACATGTACAAATAAGAAAAGAAAAATATGCAATAAGTTTTTTTTTATTTTAGATTCAGGGACAGCTCGCCATAACGAACGTCAAAAAATGTTTCTTTATTGTTTATTCGGGTGACGATAACGAATTGTTTGTTGAGGAAATTTTAAAGGACAGCCATTTATGGAACGGCACTATGCTGCCAAAATTAATGCGGTTTTATTTAGATTGTGTTGCACCTGAAATTATACTTAACAGACGAGGGCAAAACTTGAAATGTGTCGATCCACAATATATCCTGGATGCACAGAAGGAGCAGAAACAAAAACAAACACAGAAGCAGAAGCGAACGCAGAAGCAGTCACAGAAACAGAAGTAAAAGACAAAAAGGACAGATGAAAGGAAATAAAAAATAGCAGCCAGTGAGGCGATTGAAACCTCGCCAATCGCACCGATCAATGTATTACATGTTGAACTTTTAACGTGCGACAACGATGTATTTTAGACTTGGCAACAACGTAGAGTTGAGTGTAGTATGATATGTGTTGTACGATGTCATGTCATGAATGTATATTTGTTTTAAGGCAAAATAAAGATACAATTTATCGACAAAGAGCGAGTGTGTAATTAAAACTAACGCAATTTTCAAGATTACACGGGTATTATTTAAATGTTTAAAAAATGTCCATTTGACGGTATTTAATAATAGGTACCTAGAATGTGTTAGAATTTAGTGCAAACAATTAAAAGAAAAATTGTACAATGTGCGCCTACTGTAATTTTTATAATGTGTACTTATTTTTAGTAACTGTCCTTAGTCACGTTGTCAGTAGAAACCAAGTTGTTTTGTCAATAAACGGAATGATTACTTAATATTATTCTACCTGTCGCTTAAATATTAAATTTCAACAGGTTATGAGTGCCCAGTATCACTGAGCAGGTGAATATTAATATTGTGGTGTTTGTTCAGACGTTTAATGCAAATTCAGTTTGAAAAATGTCATCAGGTGGACATTTTATCGCGAGTGTACCCAAGCCCCTTCGCGTGTGAAAACTTTCTGTTAGACGGGTTACAAGATTGTATCTCGGACAAAGAGAAAGACGAAGGGAAGATTAACCAGGCAAAGGCGAAGCTAGTTTACACCATTGATGCGTCATTGTATGTCCACATCAAAGAAGAAAAAACAGCAGAGGGATTGTGGAATAAACTAAAAGGTATGTTCGCAGACTCTGGAGCTTTTACTTACAGGCCTTCCGGAAAAGTATTCTCCAATGATTATGGCCATCGAGCATAGTGGTGTAAAAATTACCACTGATGCCATAAAAACAAAGCTGCTATGGAGTTCGACACTAAAGGTGGCAGCAGTAGTGCTTTCGCGGGAAAATTTGGCAAGAAAATGTCAAAGAAAAAGGGCGAAACTGTAGATAATAAAGGCAACAGTGCAGGTGGTGCGAAAAAGGACATTACGTGCTTTGGGTGTAAACAGATAGGACATTACAAGTCTAACTGTCCGGAAAAGCGCGGAAAAAGTGTTACTGAAACGAAAGCTATTTTCAGTGCGGTTTTTATGAACGGTGAGTTTAGTAAAACTGATTTTTATATTGACTCGAGTGCAAGCATGCATATGACACCAAATAAGAATTGGCTTACACTTAAAACTGAACATGAAATCAAAGAAATTGTGGTAGCTAACCAGTCTAGGGTAGTCGTAGAGTGTTCGGGAAACATGGACATTAAAACGCAAGTACATAATGAGATATTTGACATTACTGTTAAGGACGTTTTATGCATTCCCGATTTAACCACTAATCTACTTTCGGTAAGTCAGCTCATTAAAAACGGTAACCAGGTTGAGTTTGAAAAAACTGGTTGCAAAATTTTTAATGCAATTGCTGCACTTCAAAATAATGTGTACAAATTAACCATACAAGCAGATGCGTGTTTTAGCAGTCATACAGGCGTATCGGGCGAAACATGGCATAGAAGTTTTGGGCATCTCAACTCCAGGGATCTAACCATAATGAAAAATTATCAAAGTCCTCGTGTGACCACTTTTGACTCAACCTTCAATAAAAGATCTTGTGGAAGGCTACTACATTCACTTTGTCGGTACCCGCTTCCCACTTGCCGCGTGCACCCGCAATTCGCCTTTGAAGATTTGACTCGGCCATCAGTAAGATCGTGTCGGGGGCTACCACATTCCCTTTGACGGTATCCACTTCCTTTGTTGGTGGATTTCGTTAAAAAACTTCCACAAGATAGTACTTAATTTTTGGGGCACTTCTCATTGCTCGAAGCTTGCATTTTTTACCATATTGCTGAGGATACTTCGTTTACTACTTATATTAGAAACAGTCCATCCCCCATGTTGTAGCTGTAGGATATACTTTTATAGCTATCTCCTGAGGCTATGTACCTGAACTGAATAATGCAATCATAATTATACAATTTGGGCTTATTGTAGCAGATTGTGTTTATAGGTGTTGTATTCCATAATAATCCAAACAGTAAGATAGGAAACCTTGGCAAAAATGAAACCCCGCGAAAATACCACAAGGTACCTATAACCATAGCTATAACATAGCGGTCAAATTGAATGTGTCTTGTCTGCTGATGTAGATATGCTAACGTATTACAGTTTTCGATTGTTAGATTGGCTACCTTATGCTAAATCAAATGGAAACATTGGAGTGATGATTTATTAATTTCCCGCAAAATAATAGTAGACATTATATACCAGGATAAAGATGCATTGCGCTTGCCAGGATATCGCCACTATGTAGGTGGACATTGGTAAGAAAGTTTCCAATAGCTCGGTATTATCAGACCGGTTAATTCTCTGCTATAGTTTTTTGATACAAGAAAATAACATAATTGAACAATGTCGTAGCATGTGTGCAATCTAAATACACAGTGCATTTGCATTTTTATGGTGTGCTGATAGTCATTAATAATTTTTACATTTAACAAATGTCTTTCTACATTCAAACTGCTTTTTCTAAATTGAAATTTCATTTAAATCTCAATTCAATCAATCACTTTGCATTTAGATTAAATATTTTCAAATAATGAAATGCTTGCATAATGTTCTGCAAGAAGTATTTGTGGAAATAATTTATCACTTAGTTTACATACTGGACAATAAATGAATTGTAACTAAAATTAGTAAGCTCCGTTCTTTCTGACATACAGGAAAACTGCATAACAATTCTAAATTTAATCTGTACACATGTTAACTAGATTGTTTGAAATTTACACATATATTGCAACTATATTTGAAAACGTAAGCACAAAACCTTTCGAATTGCATGCAAAATAAATCACTGGACATTATTACACCGGTTCCATAATCAATATCCACGCAAGGGGAAGCATTATGTCATTATAATAGTACTCGTACTATATAATTTGAAAAGTTGTTCTCGGTGACTGCGTTACTTCTCGTTAAAAAAACACTCAATTAACAAACAAAACAAAATTACTTTTTTGATTAAAATCATATTTTAAAAATTCTTCTGGACATATTAAACATTCACATTGACGTACTAAAAAGTTTCATTTTGTGTCTAAAAATGTGTGGTTCTAAAGCCCGACTTCGGGCCGGTTGTACAAGTGCAGTTTAAGAAGTAGCAGAGCTCAACAATTAAACTGAGCTTAAACCAGTGATACAGTTTAATAGTGTTGTACGGTTTTGGTCAGAAGTAATGTCCCTCGATTATCTCAAGTGTAGCACATAATTAATAAACCAGATTTCCTGTGAGTTTTGACCTTCTTTTCAAAATGAGGAAAGTCTAAGATTGAAATGATATTGGAACTAAATCACGGAGGAACTGACATATTCGTACTTTTTCTACAGTTGAGGTAGGTATCTGAGAGAGTACATTATTTTTGACCACGACTTTACATCGATTAACACCCAAACCTCACTTAAACTATGCTTAAGTTAAGCGGTTGATTAATAAGGTTTAAGCTTAGTTCTTTGCATCAATTAACAGAGGATGACGATTTCGCAGATATTATTAATCTAATTTTGGATGAAGGAGAAGGAGAAAAATATACACGCCCAAAGAGAATCACTTCACAAAGTGAATGACATGGAATTTTTGATTATAGTCAATGCATCTGTTTTTTTGCATTTCAGCACAAGGGATGTAACGGAGCTTCGGTTCCGATTCCGAAAGAGCGGAACTTCCGATTGATTTTGTACTTTCGATTCCGATTTCGGTTCCGACAAATTTTAATCGGAGGTTATATCGTAGGGGTTTATGACAGAGTCGGTGCGGCCACAATCAGTGCGTTCGCGTACAAATACGTTTATACTTGTCGCGCGGGGAACCTTCCTCACCTCGTGCCTTCTGTTGATTACCTTTTCACTTGTTGTGTTCCTTGAGTATAATTTGCTTCTTTTCGAGTCACTTAATTTGTTCTATGTACATATTAGTATTGTAATTTAAAATGTGGCATGTCTCTTCTTTACGGTTTCGATTCCGATTTCGGTTCCGATAAACCAAATTTAAAAACTCCGCTTCCGAATTCGGCTCCGATATAACTACTTCCGTTACATCCCTACCGGTGAGCACATTATCATACTTTTTTACTACGCTCGTTAATATAGATTCTTCTTTTGCACTGAAATTTGCGGCGCGAACTTTTTTTTCGTTCTCTTTCGAACACATCGTTGAAAATGCTTCTGCTGATCAGCTGATTGACAAACGAATAAATTGCTTATGCACATGTACGCAGGTTGCCAACTTCTTGAAAATCTGATGTACGTAAACTAAGTTCAAATCCTACTTGTACAATTATTGTATAATTCACAAAGGGAATATGGTATTTAATTTCCGCTTCTCCCAAATTCTCATTTTCCTTTCCTGCAGTTCATTTCTCTTTTTCATGTAATTCTGAAGTTGCCTTAAGATATTTTTTGTTAGGTGATCGTATTTATTTTGGAGGTTCTTCGATTTGAGGTGTTGCAATTTGTACAACCTGCGTCATATTCTCTACACCTACACGTGTGTGGTGAAGACGTTGAAGGTTTGTTTCCTGAAATTTAAATCGAATCTGTCAGTAAGGGAATTGAGATGCTCCACGACCTGTCTTACTTTTATTATCTTTAATAACTTTATATACATATGTGCGTGGGTGATCAATTATGCCATTTTATCTCACAAAGTTTATTACTCTTTTTTATACCTACGGTTGATAGTTCAGTGCTTATTAATTCCCACAAAACTTTTCTTTTTTTTGCACTATTAAAATTTTCTTTATTGTTATCATAAACCGTAATTAAAGCCTCGTTTGTCGAATAAGTGCGATCTTCTGCATCTGTTTCTCCCAGAACATTTGTTTCTTCTTCTACTTCTGGCAATTGGGTAGCATTCTCTCCTAACTGCTTACTTAAGCTGTACAACAGCAATCTTCTACCAAAAATATATTGCAGTATAAAGATTGTATAAACAAAAGTCATACTTGTCATTATCGTCGCATCAAAAAATGTAATCTATATCTTTGAAATATTTGGCAAACTACCAACTTGATTTAAATTTTTACTGTAATCAATTATAAAACCTTCATTATCTACAAAATTCAATATTTACTTCATCATTCATTAGAGTTGAAAGCCTTACTGTCAAGTTACAAAATTCCTGTTCAGAAGCCGGTACTTGAAGACATATCTCTCCTGAATTAATAATAAACTTTTTTGCGCGATCGGTCATTTGTGACTATTTACCATGGGTGTTTCCATGACAGTACGTAGAATTTACCAGTTGCTATGATTACGACGACGCCAAAATTACTTACCGATCTAAAAACAGAACAGCAAAAATACTTACCGACGCCTTTTTAAAAA